TCTGCCTATGCTATTTATCACTTTAAGAAGGAGATGCCCCAGAAAAAGAAAGCTCAGGAGGATCTGTTGTATGGAGAAATTATCATTTTAATTTTTCTCTGCCAATGGCTAAACTTCAGTGGCAACTTGAAGGAAAGAGATTTATTTATAGGTAACTTGATAGAGAAAGCCTGCAGGTTTTACATTCATACACTGAAGAACAAGTCAGATTCATATCTTCACTTAGGATTTCTTTCTTTTTTATGTTCTTACAAGGAGTTCCACAAAGCTTTGAAATTAAGAGCTAAAAGCAGTAAACACACACAAAAAAACACACTGTTTGCTATGCAATTAAAAGCCCCCCCAAAGATGGGTCTACCCTTGGTTCTGAGAAACACCTAAGAATGCAATGTCAATGCAACAGTATCATTTCAAGCTACATTCCTCCCTCAGCAAGCTGCTTGTGGTAGCTCTATTCACTAGCAGAAGGAAGTGGGTGGATGGTCTGCATTTTGAGCTAATGCTTCTAACTTTTAATGGGTCTTTTAAGTATATAAATTAGAAATCTTGCCTCAAAAGAACAACTGCTGCAAATGGCAGTCATTTTATCTTGGAAAAAGAAGTGAAACAGTGTCTCCACTGATTTCCTCTTTCTTTTATCCCCTATAGGAGAACAGAAAGATGATTGCAGGTTGATTTGCCCTGTTCTGATTTTTTCTCTCAAATCTTATTTTTAGAATCTACCCAGGATTAATGGGTGTTCATTGATTCGCAGCATGGGAGCTGCACAGAGGAGAATGCAAAATGTGAGCTGGGGAAGACAGGGAAAGAAGAGGGAATGGGGAGGGAGAGAGTTTTGCCTGTCTGCTTCTTTGGAATATATGAGGCTGACAGACAGATCTTCCCTCAAAATACATCGCTTCTTCCCTCCAGCCACTCCTTCTCCACTTGCCCATTGCTTGTGCACAAACAAAACTAACACATTCACTGCCTTGTCTGATTTCTGGTTTATGACTGAAGAAGTCAGAGTATGTGTCAGCAAGGAAACGGAACCAAGTTGCGTCTCAAGTAAGATAATTTACTTGGAGACTAATCAGGACTCTGTTCCCTCGAGAAGGGTCCTTCAGAAGGGGATCTCACTGCATCTGTGCTACTACTGCTAATATTTTTAAAGTGCTACTTAAATTTAGTATCTGCTAAGTTGGAAAAAAAATACTCTCCTTCTCAGAAAGGAGCAAAAATTTGTAGGTGCAGCAGATAAGATGAGAAGACATGGTTACAAAGGCCAGTGAACAACCACGGTGTTGAAGTGGACTGTGTCAGTAACGGTAAGATGTAAAAGCTCTGCCTAAATTTGCACAGAAAATAGATGTCACTAGTAGCATATTTATCAATGTGTTGGGCTGTAGGACTGATGAATTTTCATTTTTGCTGATTAATCCCACAGCCTGTCCTGACTGGCAGGTGGTTAAACCTGTCTAATCAAAATGTCACAGCCAGGAGAAGGACGATCAACAACTAGAAATATAGGGAGAACATCACAGGTGCTTCAAGAAATGGGGCTTAAGAGTTTAGAAAAGGGGCGATGGTGGAAAATATGAAGAGGGAAGGAGGGAAAACGAAACATCTCTCTTCCCTTCTGGTATTGTGGGCTAAAAAAGGCATCTGATGCCTGCTAAGGGCCATGAAAATGGATTCTAGAACTAGATAATGTTACCAGGCTGTCCATGTAGGGACTGAATACATTCTTCAAAGCAGCTCATTTTTAGCCCGTTCACTAAGCATATGGTAGATGTATTTTTAATCTCTCTGAACATGTCTGAGGGCAAGTATAAAAGAAAACGATGCGTTAACTTGATTTCCTCATGAACCTGAGTTTATTACGGGCACTGCTCACGGAATGATCTGCAGAGGATGCTCATATGTAGTGACTCAGCTACGGGTCAGAATCTGGTTCTTCAGGCTTAAAGCTACTACAATCTGCTCATTGTAGCTCTAGGAAGTAATTCTTTATGTCCTAAACAAAAAGTCACACTAAAGTAATGGATTAAATGGCAGTTAATTTGGTTAGATGTCAGGAAAAACAACAACACTACTATACGAAAAAACAACCTTTCTACTGGTAAAGACTGGGAAAAAAAAAAGCTAGAATAGATGGATAAGGAAGTGTGAAGTCTAGACAGGTATCTACCAGGAATGGTACTGTCTTTGGTCAGGAGGTTGGATCAGCTCTTTCAGACAGGTTTTCTATGACTCAATGAGTGACAAAAACTTCAGATACACTTTTTATAGTCCCTCCCCTCAAGCCAGAGAAAGCGTGATGTTTTTCTTTCTCTCTACTCTATTGCTCAAGGTTCATATATTTAAGAGAAGAAACTTGCACTTCAAATCTGGACTGTGAGTGAAGGAACATCTGCAAAGATACTAAAACCACACCTGAAGATCCTGTCGGACACACAGAACAGAGGGTGGATCTTTGCTCAGGTGAACATGTGCTCAACCTACCTTGCAGGACTATCTACAATAGTGTTCCTGGACCTCTGATCTGGGACTACAAATCATCAGGTGGTCCACAAGCCCACAGCACACATATGAGCAAGCAAATGCACATCCACAAGGCAATATAGCAACATTTTGCACATGGTGCTTGTGTGCCCCCTCACACTCACTTTATGCCTTCCCCAGCTTGACTCTGAAGATGAGAAGTTGTAAAGCACTGATCCAGAGCACCCACAAGAACTGCACCCACTATCCTCATTGAGAGGATGGAAAGAGCACTGTGTGAGGAAGAGGCAGACAAAATAAGTTTGTGATCCTTCTTTGGATTTAAGACACAAAACACAAGTGCAGAATTGGAGAATAAACCAGAACTGACGGGCAGGGTTTCACTGAAGGTGACTGCTTTGTGACACACCTCATAGATTACACAAATGTAGGTAACTCAGGAGATTTGGAGATCCCGCCTGGAGTTCTTCCCTGCTTCCTGGCACAAAAAGACAAAAATCTGAAGACTGCAGAAGTTAACAACCAGGTGTGTAACACAGGGTACAGGTGTCAGATTTGTGGATCATGGTCTACTGACTATGGGCCAAGGCTAAACAAATCAGATTAAATAAGCAACCAAAAGCATGTTTAGCACAAAAACATGATGTCAAGAACAACGTTACATAAAGTGGAGGCTGTAAGAAGATGAGATCCTTCTCAGTTGACTATATGCTAGTTATGAATGACAAACCATATGCCTGCACAGCAGTAATTCAAATCAATATTCTTGAAAACTACTAGGTAGATTCATTATTCATTAGCATTCATTACTGGAGTGTTAAAAGAAATAATTATAACCATTTTAAGAAGCCCAGCTGGATGAGGGGAATCGACAGGCACTTTATGTCACAAATAAAATCTGAGTGACTGACAACTTAGGATGAAAGTCAATTTGGATAGTAATGAATCACCCAAGATAAGGTATTGGCATCTCTTACAGATCATCGGAAACATTTTAGAGGATGGGATGACTGACTTCCTCAACACCTATATACAACTAGTACCATGGTCACCCCACCATCTCACAGCAGGACTGGGAACAGTAACACTCAGGAGCAGCAGTGCTGGCAAAAGCACAGGCTACTGCTAGTCATATGTTGTAGCTACACCTGAACTGCCTGCAAGCCACATGTGGTTTGAGAGAGGAACCAGACAACCTCTGCTCTAGATCTCGATTAGTAGAGAGGAAATGATCACAAACCCGGTTGTTTAGACTGAAAAGGACTAACATTTTACACACAAATAGAATTTGTACATTGAATTGATAATCACTGTGGTAAAATTTTATGCAATATATGAACATACACTTCATCTATCCATAAATTAAGAACAGAATGCATGATTAGTGAGAGGTAATCTCCTAAAACTGAAACAGATGGGAGTCAAGACAGATGGAAGAAAGAAAGGAAAGAAAGTTGGAGATGATTTAAGATGTTTGCTAAATGCCTACAACTGAGAAAGTAGGACCCGGCCAGTTAAACATAACACGCAACCAAAAAACCAACAGCTGGGTTTACGAGGGAAGTGAAAAAAGACATAAAGCACTATATATAAAACCAGCACATGAAGGGAGAAAAGGAAAAGATAACAATGAATATAAAACCTAGAATAAAGACTATGCAAAGGAAGCAAGAAGATACTAGGAAAAAAGGCAAGTAGAGCCTTTTTATTCTTCTAAGCAGATGAAGAAAGAGGAATTCTAAACAACAAAAGTGGTAGAATCATTCAGAACAACACAGCAGAAGTGAAGTTATTTAGCAAATATGTCTGATTAGTCTGCTAGTAAAAGCCAGGTGATCTATTTATGATGATGATTATGTTATAAGTTCCTCTAGGTATTTCAAATCACTTGGTACAAATAGACTTGTCTTAGAAATTTTTAAAGAACAAACCTCCAGGCTACTGCTGCTGCTTCTAAAGCAGTTCTGGGCCACTGAGGAAGTTCTAGGGACAAGAAGAAGGTTGTGCCAGCATTTAAGCAAGATAAAAAGTAATTATAGGCCAGTTGGTTGAGTTTCCAGTACTTTGCATGGGGCAGAACAGTCAACACAGGATTCATTTAATAAAAACTTAGAAGAAAGCTCTGTAATTAAAGTCAATCAACTTGGCTTCAAGGAAAACAGATCCTGTGAAACTAAACTGATGTTACTTCTTGCTAAAATTACAAGTTCACTTGATGAAGGCAGGGTTGTTGATAGCATTGTAAGACCAAGTCATCTGACCTGGTTTGTAAAACCTTGATCAAGAAACAGAATGCTTTGAAGTCCACAGGGAGTGTGCTCCATACATTGACAGTAAGTCTGGAGAACACTGTACCTGGAGAGCACTGTAAGAGGTCAGGCAAGAAACTCAAATATATTTTGTCCTGAAGGCATGTCTGAGTCTACAGTCATATTAAACATATTAAAAAGTTGATCAATTAGAGGATCCAAAGCATAACTGCAAATATAGAAATAACGAATGCAGGTCATACTTACAGGATGAGAGGGAGAGAGAGGACTCTATCCTCCGAAGCAGAGACTAAATATGAGACTGGGGGTTCTGATGGGCAATCAGCTCAACATGAAATCCCAACGCAAGGCTGTGGCCAAAAGGGCTAATTCAAGCCTCTACTGTAAAAACAAATGAAAAGTAAAGGATGAGTAGGCAAGTTTTAGTAACTATTTGGTTCTTCTTCATTTGATATTTGAATAATATATCAAGTTCTGCCATTCCATTTTTCAAATAACGTGTTGAAAAAACTGAAGAATGTTCAGGGGAGAAAGGTTAAAGAACTGAGAACACTGAGTAACAGAAGTCTTCAACAGAAACAAAACTGAAATTTTGTTTTTTTTTTCTGTCCTTGGTCTAGAGGTATTTGTATAGGGAAGTAATTCGATAACAATCGGCTCTATTCTAGCAAAGGTGGAAAACTCAGTGGAAGTAGAAATTCATCCAATCCAAACCAGAAACGGGCACTTTTGTTTTCCTTTTCTCAGCAGTGATCAGTTACGGGCAACTAACTAGTGAAGGTCTTTACAGAACAGGCTGTGATGCACTGCTCACCTCTGCAAAGTTAGAAGGAGCCCTTCTTGATTTAAAAACGCTCTTTCAGCCTCGATTAGAAGGCATGAAGCAGGAGTTCCCTAAGGTGAGATCCATGGTCTACCTCATATGGGTGATCAGAGGAGTGATCACAGCATCTGACGGTGCTTTGCATTTCTATTAAAAACACCCCCTCCTGTCTTGGGGTAGTAGCAATCCTGATGCCCTTTCTGCTCATGGCATGCAGGAGGCCTGGAGGGGAAAGCGTCTTTTGAGGCTGATGTGCCATTGAAGTAGTGATGACACTCGGCTGTCCACCTTTTAAGGAGTCTGAAAGGCAGTGGACTCTGAATTCCCAGTACTCACAGTACAAACTTGCTGATATTGGAATGCCAAGGACACAACCTTTAGGAGCTGGACGGGGGTTATTACAGCCCTGATTATGAGAACCTGTTCCCTTTTATCAACAACTTACTTTATCTGCTGTCTGCTGCTTACATTCATGCCCGAGAATCCCAAAGCCACAAAAGGGGACCTAAAAATTAGGCTGACAGGAGGAGTCCTCCCTACCTTACAGATATTTCCACTCCCAACCTGACCCTTAGAGGATGAACTCATTCAGGAACTGCCTGTCTTGTTGAGGAAAACAAGTTAGTGTCTTGTTCAGCGAGGGGATGAGAGGATGTGAGCGCTGCCCCAGCAGGCACCTCCCAAGTCACGCAGGATATCCACATTTTTTCTCCTTTCCCTTCAGCCAGCTGAGGGACCTGGATGCTGCTAAGAAAGCTCCTGGCTCTGCATCCCAAGGCTTGGTTCTGGCAGGTGGGCTGCTAAGCACGCTGTGTTCTGAATTTCCTTCATCTCACAACTCGCCAATATTTAAATTTGGTGGGTTCTAAGGACACAGTATAAGCTTTTGCCCACACTGTCTGTCTTAACCCAGGCCTCTGGCCAGCAAGTATTAATCCCATTAATGTGTAGGAGTGGCAAAGGGGACTGGCGACTGTTTGATCTGTGCCAGTTGCTGGCATCAGCTCGTTTTAAGCTTCTAGAATGAATTCACTTATGACTAAATGCTGCAATGTAAATTCTGCAAATAAAACAGATAAAATAATCTCAATTAATTGAGCTCAGTGTTGGTTCACATATGCCACTCCAGAGATTTAAAAGGCATTATTTCATAAAAACATTTCATTATATTTAATTAGTCATGATTCAAGAGATAGTTTTCTTTTCAGCAGGTGGGAAAAAAATATGTATTTGGCACTTTCAGTCACTTTCACTGTGTGATTCCTGCTAAAATACAGCACAGACCAGTACAATCCAAAGCAGCCATCCCATCATAAGCAAAGTGACAAAAATACAAAAATGCAGAGCAAGCAAAAGTGATGAGGCTTGTGAAAATTTTAGGGAGGAAAAAAGTCTGTCCAATGGTTATTACGGTGTCTGTGTGCATGTGTATATACGTATATACACATGTATGCATTCATACAAACATACCACCAAAAAAAGGTCTCTGCTATACCTGGCATATCTATCAACAGATCTTGACTCATAAGTGTATGATTAGCAAGTCTTTCCTAAAAAAACAAAGCTTATCACGAGTAAAGCCTCAGAACTACTAATAGAAGATTCATCAGAATTTGATTAAGTTTGAATTGTACATTTTTGTGTTTTAACATCTTTTGCCCTCTTGGATGTACTTTTCTCCCCCATTTTTTGGCACGGGCCAGCTACATCATACAGCATGAGGGGGTCCTGCTTAGCAGATGTACAGTTGTGGTTTCCACTTCAATTAAAGGCTTTGCTTATGTCAAAAGATGCACAAATTTTCACTCAGCCAGAGATCACATAGGCTAGAATTCACAAATATATTTCTAAGGATGAAGCAATCATGGTAATCTTACTAAACATAAATATACAGAAACAAAATAGAAACAATTTAATTTAAAATATGGATTTTTTTAAAAAAAATTGAAATATAAAGAAAAGAGCCAGAAGTTAAGCTTGTCCTTTTACTCCAGACAGACAGAGAAGGAATGTAGGAGTATGTGAGACTAACCGTTTGCCTTTGTAATTCACCCAGACCAGACTCAAGAGATGCTATGGGAGTTAATGCAATGAACCCCAGAAGTGTCACTTTTGCAGATCTCAAGAGGCATCGTTGACCTGCGGCTGGCTGCAGTTTCTGCCCCAATTCCAGTTTAATGTATTCCAGTTTGACCCTGAAGCGACAGCGTTGCTGAAGAACATGCTAAGAAGCAAATGCAGGCAATTGCTTTGACATAATTCCTTTGGACGCAGGCAAATCCAATGTGCTGATGTAAACAGAGGCTAGAAAAGGGCTTTACCTAATCTCTGCTCCTCATTGAAGAAAACAATAAGAGAAAACAGAGTACAAACTAAAAGCTGGCCAAACATACTCCCTAACAATAAAACTAATACATGTTGTCTAGGACAAGGAATACTAAGACAAGCATTTTACCAGTATCATTTGGATACATACACCAAATTTGATTGATAGTTTAGATCTACATATGTCTTACATATATAATTGGCTCTTTCTGTATAACACACAGGAAACATCTGCTCCATCTAGGATATTAATCTCAAACCTCAGGAAGAGCATACGTCAGATCTTTATGGCTACAGTAAATTCAAAAGAGTTACTAAGACAGTTCTCTCACACTAAAGCAAACTCTGTCTCTCATTCTTCTAAAAAATAAGGAACTGTATGGATTCTTTCTAAAAAATGAGGAACATTTTCTAGACAACGAAATGTTCCTGTCTGGCCACTGGTTTAAATACCCAAGTTTTAGAGACCTTGAGGATGCATATTCTGATGTCAAATCGGAGAACATCTAGGCAACTTCTTATCCTTTCGCATGGGGACTGCAAGAACAGAAGCTGGGAATATTTTCCAAGGAAAAGGTGAATTTCTGGCAGGAAACCAAATCAAGGAAGCCATGATGACTACCTTGAGAATAAAAGAGTAAACTAAAAATTTGCTTCTCTAACTAGTCACAGTTGCTCCTGAAATAACTTCTGCATAAAAGGAGAAGAAAAAAATACAGAATAATGGCGCAGTTTTGCAGAACTCATGGGGACCATCCGAAGGCCGAAAATGGCTGGTCTGTCAACTTTACACGAGGAACAGAAACAAACAAACCCCAAACTGCAAATCCTGACTCCCTCCTCCATCTTTTACCTCCTTTCCTAGAAAGGCCTTCTCCTGTCCCAGAGGAATGTTCTCCCTTCAGCTCTCCATCCCTCCATGCAGACAATCTGTAACGGTATCACGCAAAAGCCAGATGTGACCCCTAAAGCTTCCACTTTCGCTGTACCTAGAGTGCTTCCAAGGAGAGAAAATCCTGTGAAGAAACTTACTCTCATTTCCCTTTACTGCAACAGCTTGCGTGGGTCACTCTACCACAATAAAAGTCTGTATCTGCTGCCTAACTACGACAGAGAGATAGAGATTTCCCTTTTCAGCCTCTGTTAAGAAACAAGGCCTCTGAGAGATGTATGATCATGTGCTAAGCTCCTGAAACTACCTGACCCAGAATATCAAACCATCCCTGCACAAGACAGAAATAGTCTTTTATCCTTCATCATCTTCCATCCTTTACCTGACCTACCTAACCCAGAATATGGCCCCAAAGTGTGGTCCACGCTTTGCTTGTTCATCAGACTAGTAGGGGCTGCACAGCTTTGGAACTGCTGCTCTAGAGATTCAGAGGACAAAGGCTGACTGAGAGTAAGACTTAACATGCTAAGAAAGCATTTGAATTTCTCAGGCTGTCTTATTAAATTTTAAAGTATTTTTTTTTCTAGTATCTTAGCATCTCCACAGAGAAATGCACCACCCTAGTATTCCCATCTATGTGCCAACTATCATGGTATAGTGACAGTGCAGATAACACAGCTAGGTGCTCTAAAACAACTCGTGGAATAGGGTTGCTAATTGGTATTAAATAGATAAATAAAGCATCTATAACGTAGGAATAAAGCAAGTGAAATAAAGAGGATAGGATATCCACCGGATTTTGGCTAGATAGGATGATACAAATCAAAAAAGCAGCAACTGAATGCACTCCTATCATTACACTGCCGTCTATACCAAGAGTCAAGGTTCATCATATTTGCACTACAGCAAAGCGACAATTGTTGTGACAGTCCCAGCAGCTATTAGGTAGTTCGTGCTCACTATTTTTTCAGAGCAGGATAAGCACTGGAGATCTGATTGTCTGCATGATTTGAACACTTCCCTTAAATATACAAGTCTAATATGACTTCCAGTTTTCAGTGATGGTGGGTTACCGATTATTTGGCAACTGCAGACTGCTACTGCATTTTTCCTACAGGAAATGTTTATTCCATATGTAAGAAGATCATTCCATATGTAAGAAGATCATGCTTATAAGAAATAATGTAGAAAAGTGATCTAATTTCTATTCTACTTCCTTCCTTCTGCAGTGTGCTGCATTGAGATATTTGTTCCAAAACAGAGATACTAGTTCATGGCCAAGATTCAATTTATCCTGATTCTACAAAACAAGTCTGCAGCTAAACTGCAATCCAAATATCT